TTTTTTTTTTTTTTTCAATGAAAAGTGTGCATACCCAGATGTCGACCCAGTGTGCACTAATCATTTTCCAAAAAAAAATTATCTTTAAAAGATAGTAGGGTTATTATCGCATCATATAGTGTTAAGGATTTAACACTATATTTTTAACACTTATTTAGACTATTTTATTTATTTTAATAATAACATAAAAAAATACTTTTCATTTTTGAATTCTCCCTTTATTGTGACATAATAAAACTTGCCTTCTAATGACTTGTACCAAATTTATTGGATAAATAAGTTTAATATTATTTTTCAAATGAATCTTAATTAATTAAAATTTTTTATAAAAAAATATGTAGAACTAGTAATAAATTAATCATAAAATAAATAAACACACTCCATCTCCTGGTCTCAACATGCATGGTTTACCAACAATATTGAAGCTTGCATTTAACTCTTGTTTCAAGAGGGAAAAATTGCAGGGATAGAATATAGAGAAAGACTGAGGAGATGGAGAAGACGAATGAAGTTTTCCTTTTCCTTTTTAAGATTAATTTATATTTGTTAAATTTCTAATTAATTGAGATTAAGAGTTAAAATAATATTAAATTTATCATGTCCACTAAATTTGAAGTTAGTCATTAATAGTATATTTGACTTGAGAGAAATTAAAAGGAGAGGAAAAAATTTTATATTTGGTTATCAATAAAATTAGAGGAGATGATAGGGAAAATTTTCTCTTTATTTTTTTATTTAGTTATTTATTCAAATAAAAGAAAATAAGGGAAGAGGAATGGAATTATATAATTTCCTTTTCCTCCCTTCCCCTTCCTTCCATTTTCTTTAACTCAAACATAGGGTCAATGATTTGATTTTTTTTTTTTATTGGGTTTGAAATATGAAAAGTAATTTTCCAGAGGATACTGTTGTAAATGGGTAAAAATGTCCAAACTAGTGCTAAATTTATGGCAATGGTGCCGACCATTAAAAGAAAGAAAGAGGTAGTAATATTTAATTTTTATTCATCCCCTAATTTAGTAAAAATTAAAAATGATCAATCTCAATTCACATATTCTTAACTTGTCAACTACATTTCTCAATTAATTTGCTTTCATATAGATTGGCAATGGAAACGGGGTTACTCCAACCAAACAAGACCAAAAGTTATTGAACATCAAATGAAAAAGACCAAAAGTTATTGCTTAATTTGTAAAAATTATATTTTGTACATCCCCACCCGTAGATCATACGTAAACTATCCTTAGCCCCTCACTTTCTCTTGATAAAAACATTGACACCATAGAGTATTCCTCGCTACTTTGTGAATGCAATATGCTTAAGCACTTTATAAAGGCTAAAGCCGCAAAATATAAAAGATGGTAAAGACAACAGAGGGAATTGGTGGGTGGGGGACTTGGGAGGGGCAAACAGAATGCTTAATTTAAAAGGCTTTGAATGCTTTTGCTTTATAATTCAAGCAATACCTTCTTAAAGTCCATTCAGTCACTATGCTTTCGTGTCCTTCATCGATACCAACAGTCTACAATTATATGAAGAAACTCTTCTTTTTAGGTATCCTTTTCTTTTTCTCTGTTTTTCCATGCCATGCACTCCTTTTTATGCATTAGAATTAATTTCCTCTTTGCTTGTTTCTTAGCATTGAAGATAAAAAGCCAGACTCATTTCCTTCCGCCTTTCTTAAACATTGGAATTAAGAGTGATTAATATACAAGAAAATTTTATTTTATAGTTTAAATTATATAAATTAAAATAATAATTATTAAATGAGATGAGACCTCTAAGATCAAAAGTCTTATTTTTATTGAATGATTAATATAATATAATTTATATTGTATCAAATTATATTATACTTTTTTGTATATAACAAAGTGTTTTCAAATTTTTAATATTTTCATTAGTATATTAAAAATGA